ATAGAACAATGGAGAGAATGATGGTGCATGTGCAGAATAGGTAAAGCGTGCGACGTCCACATGTGCACGTGCAAGTATGTGGATGAGGGTGTAGGATCAAGGTCGCTTGATGACGCACTCTCGTATTGGCATATGAAGCACCCCTCGCCCAAGGGCATTGGTGCAAAGGTGCTTGCATCGGTGCATGAGGCACCCTTCGCCCGAGCATGTGAATGGATCGGGCTCGAGGATCGATATCTTTCTATGAGCATGGCTCATATAGAACATCCAACAATTTTTATTCATTGAAGAGGTGTAGGCTTGTAAAAGCAGCCATTGAGTTAATGGCGTGCATGTAACTTGTAACTGTTGGTGGTACATGTAACCACTACTACAATAAATGGGCAGCCTTTAGGAGCTTTATGAAATGGGTCTTTTTTGCCATACAAATTACACTCTTGCATCACTTTTCTAATACATCGTCTCACACCATTCTCTACGAAATTTCAAAGAGCATAACATAGCTGTCATCTCTCTTTACTTGTTTTTCTCTCTTTCTCTCTCCAAATTTTCACAAGACGCTAGTGTTTACTATAGCCTTCAAGCTCGGGTGCATAGATGTAGACACCCCATTTTAAATCTGAGAAATTCTATGGTTTTCTGAACCTTTAGGACTACATTATCCTAGTAGATCCAATTTAATTACCTCAAACCTACCCAAATCCTATCTTAATTTGAAGTAGAGCCCAAGAGCTTTCCAACTGTCCAAGAATCGCCTGAATCAGGCATACAGATAAAAAAATATAATAAATGACAATTTAGTCCCTGTGAGACCCAACTGTTGCGCCACGGGCGGGGCTGTAACGGGCTCGACAGGCCTAGACGCAGGCTACTGATGCAGTCAACACATCTGATGATGCAGTAAATGCGTTTTCTTTAATTAGATAAGACTAAAACTTTAAGATAAATCCAAAACATTTCGAAGAAACTTCAAAAAATTTAGGAAAAATTACCAATTGAATCTTACAAATACCCCTCTCCTTAAACCCAAAATAAGAGAGAAAAAGATACAAAAAAAACTTAGAATTTTTCGTAATTAGGAAGCCAAAAATATCAAAAATAGGAAAAACCCTTAGAAAATTTCTAAAAATTTAGAAAAAATCCCCAAAAATCCCAAAAAATTAGAGAAAATATCAGAATTCATATTCAACCTCTAGAGATCACAAAACCCTTAGAAAACTTAGGAAATACTCCTCCAGACCAAAGAAAGACCGACAACTTTAAAAAAATCTCTAGATTGAAAACCCTAGAGAATATAGAAACCCTCGCCTCTTGAAGTCCTAACCCCCAAGACTAAGAAAACCTAGACCTAGGGCATAAAAATCCTAGATCAAAACTAGAATTAGGGCACAACAACCCTAGATCTAACCCTTTATACCAGATATCTGCTGGTCAACATCCAAATCAGAGAGGCAAAGATGATCAGTTCTGATACGGGCGAGCCCTCGAAGGCTCGGGAATGCCGGGTCATCTGGTCTGGTTTGGTATTATTTCTTCCTCTTTCTTCTTCTTTTTACTATTTTGCTTCTTTTATTTATTTTTAATATGGTTGTCTTAAAAATCGTATTTTAATGCTTTGTATCATGCTGGCTCTACCACAGATTTGAGAGTAGATCTGCTCGTTTCCGAGCAAATCTAATCTCAGATCTGAATTCGATCTGTCCCACTTTCTCTACCACTTTATTTACATCTTTTTAATTAGTTTAAGGTGTAAAAATTCAAGATATCTTCATTGGAAGATCTGTCAGATTTTCATTGTAAACAGTTTGGTGCCCACCGTGGGGCTATTTCGAGCTTGATCCAAGCTCTAAAATACAATTTTTATTCACTGTTTTTCATTGTTTTTTGTCTCAAAAGGTCCCAAAAGTCGGATGTGACTAGAATTCAGGGTCTCAGTGCTTCGAAACCCTGCTTTTTCTGGGCGACACTCCCAGTGTTACCCAAATTCAAAGGTCTCAGAAACCTTTGGAACTTTGTGGATCTATTCTAGGGACTCTTTTGTGTCTGCACAAAAACATTCAGATCAAAATAAATTTTTTTAAATTATAAATAAATATTTTTCAGTTCAATATCGGCTTTTTTAGTTTACTTTACTTTAATTTAATTCATCATAAATATTTTTATTTCCTTCTTCTTACAAGTTTAATGTAGTCTTATTTCATCAAGATTAACAAGATAAAATATAAAAAAAATAATTTTTTTGGGTGACACCAGCGGTGCTCCCACCTTGCCCAGAAAAATTTTGGGACCCCACATGACCATTCCATGGACTTTTAGCTCCATGTTGACCTATTTTTGACCTAAAATAAAATTTTTCAAATATAAAAAAATATTTTGCTTCAGAAGGATTTGTTATGTTTCCGCCCTTTTGATTTTATTTTAGTATGTTAATTTTGACGAAATCATATTTTTCCTGCTTTCACCATGCTTAGTTTAACTGTGTTTCATCAAAATTAAAAAGATAAAAAAAAGAAGAAAAAAAAGAATACATTAGGGTGCTTACCCCTCCAAACTTAGGCTTACTCTTGGTCCGAGCTGAGACTCGTGCACCATCTAGTCTAGATCTTAGTCTAGATTCTAGCATAGGTCTAAGCTTAAGAGTTTTCTCTAGAGCTAGGCTAGGCTTACCCTAGTTCAGGATCTTAGCCAAAATCGATTGAGTCTAGGTTCCAGTCTAGTCTTAGCTAAGGTTTTTGCCGCTAGTGTCAGGCTAGGTTTGCCCTAAGTCGTTGAGTTTAGATCTTACTTATGTCTAGATTTTAGAACCCAGCCAAAAGCAGTCACCATGTCAGTCACTCAAGGTGACCATGATGACTGCTCCACGGCCGACTCTAAGCCTAACCTGCCCAAACCTAGGGGCCAGTATGCTGCATTCCCTTGGAGTTATCGACAGACCTCAGGACAATCCATTATCCAATGCCCAAATCTTCAATTTGAGGCAGAGTCCCAAGCTTCCACTCCTAATCCTGAGATTTGTGTGGCTTGAAAAGCCGGCTCCGCCTAAAAAACCTTGAATAGTCATGGAGTCCGACCAGGCGTCATTCTACAGGGGATTTTAGGCAACCAAAGTAGAAGTCTAGTGAGGGATGAAATTCATGCGACATCTAAAGCCAATTCCCATAACTCGAACCAAAAAAACTCTAAGATGCAGCGATCTCAAAACCATGACCCACCTAGTTCTAGGGGATCTAACCCAACCTTTGAGCCACCATAGTACAACTCATGATATCTTGAATACTGTATGAAGCAGATGTGTCGACTCAAATCGGCCCTTAAGCGAGATAGGCGTCCAAGCTACCCTCAAAAGTCTAGTTGACCTAAGTTACACTGTTCATGCCCCAGCTTATGGGCCGATCCCAAACCAAGTTAGTGGTATGGGTCAACCCTTAGCACAATCGAGTCAGCCGATTCTTCAATCGGTCCCTCTAGTTTATCCGGTCCAACAAACCGTGTAATTTTCACAACCGATGGCGACACTTATGGGTCAGTATGCCCCTCAGGAACCAATGTATCAAACCACCCGGGTGACTATTGCTCATCAATCTCAGGCCCATGTAGGCCAACATATACCTGAAGTTTCAACTTATCAGTCTATGCTTAGGAACTCACCAACTAGTGGGCCTACTGCCATGCCAAATACTCATCAAGAAGGCACCTTAAAAGTAATGCAGGATATGCTTGTAAGAATGAGCATGCATGAAATTCTACCCTTAAAGGCCTATGTTCATGAGACCCTTTGAGGCATGGAAGACCTTCCCTTGGGATTTTTTGTCCTAGAATTTAGAAACAAGTTCAATGGGAAGAGCGATCCAGATACTCACATCATCCGTTCGAGCTTTGTGAGACAAGCCTAATCAACTGAAGGCTATCTTTTCACAAACATTGACCGGTGAGGCCTTGAACTAGCATCGAAGAACAATGTCCGCTCAACCACACATCTCTCAAGATGAAATGTTCAACCTATTCGTGTCTCACTACCACGGGTCGACACCAAAACCTCTCTCCATGAGCGAACTTAGTGCAACAAAATAAAACCCAGGAGAACCCTTCGAGGATTTCATCGGTCGATTCCGCGAGGTGGCAATGCGGGTCATAGAATGTCCACTTACAAACTCAGCCAACATCTTCATAGTCTTAGAGAATGCCGCTCTCGAGTACAAGACCTTCTTTAGCCAAGATCTTATCCCCCAGTCTTTTGACTCCATGATCGAGTGGGTGGCACGGCATGAAAGGGCCATAGGGGCACCCCTCAGCACCAAGCCCGACAACAAGCCGATAATAGCTCCCCAAACTAAGAACAAAAACAAGGGGAATGCTTTCGGTCAGGTTAATAAGATTGTCATTAACGGGTCGGCCCAAGGTTCAGCTGCGCAACACAATAATCAGAATCAAAACCGAAAGGGTCAGCTTAGAGCCAACGCTCAAAATAATCACCAAAGGTGAGTGGATAATTTCACCCCTCTCAAAGACCCATTAAAAAAAGTGTTGGAATTACTCTTGACTAAGAATATGGTTTATCTCTCGCCACCATCTGAACCACCATTTCAAGTCACGGAATAATCTTAAATTGGGGTTTAAGATTTGATGTCCTAAAAAATAATCTTAAATTGGGGTTTTATTAGAGATACTGAATAGAGAAAATGCTCTAGCGGCTGCATAATATTTAGAAAAACAAAAAGCAACTCTAGTGAATTACTATAGAACTGGGTAATGCAATAAGGGAGGGGATAGATGGAAATTAGGTCTTCTCTTTGACTCTCGACGATAATTGCATTTGGATGACGCAACCGTCTATACACGGTCCAGAAACGCAGTAACTGCACACTCTTCACTCCACCCACCATGCATGAAAGAGCACCGAGGTGGTGACGGCGAGAATACCCCACCTTGCCAATACACCATGGATAGTATTATGAAGCAACTAGCTGTATTGTTCATTGTAGCTTTGTTCCTAGCTCACAATGTTAGAGGACAAAGGCCTGAGGATGGAGAGGATGATGGGCTGGGTGACTCTCGATTCATTGGTGGTAGGCGATCGAGTTCGATCGAGGCCGGGGTGTCGCTTTTGTGATCGGTGCTGTGGGTTTGGAGACAGTGGCCTAGGTGACGGCGGCGGTGGTGGTCTTGGCGGCGGTGGTGGTTTAGGTGGTGGTGGAGGAGGAAAAGGAGGAGGCTTTGGCGCTGGAGGCAGTGCTAGTGGCGGCAATGGAGGGGGTGGAGGTTTTGGAGGTGGAGGTGGTGGCGGTGCTGGCGGTGGAAGTGGTGGTGGTTTTGGTGCTGGTGGAGGTCTTGGAGGAGTTAGTGGTGCAGGAGGATTTTGTGGTGGCGGCAGCGGTGGTGGTGGAGCTGGACGGGGGCAGGGTAGCGGTTTTGGTGCGGGAGGTGGTGCTGGTAGTGGTGTTGGCGGAGTTGGTGGAGGTGGAGGGTTTGGGGGAGGTGGCGGTGGTGGTGCTGGTGTTGGTGCTGGAGGGGGGCATGGTAGCGGTTTTGGTGAGGGAGGTGGTGTTGGCAGTGGTGCTGGCAAAGTTGGTGGAGGTGGGGGGTTTGGGGGAGGTGGTGGCGGTGGTGGCGGTGGTGTTGGCGGAGGAGCCGGACATGGTGGAGGCTTTGGTGCTAGTGGTGGTGTAGGCAGCAGTGCAAGTGGTGCAGTTGGTGGAGGTGGAGGTGGAGGATTCAGTGGCGGCAGTGATGGTGGGGCTGGTGGAGTAAAAGGTGGTGGTTTTGGTGGAGGGGGAGGACTAGGTGGTGGTGTTGGTGAAGGTGGAGGACTTGGTGGCGGTGGTGGTGGTGGCATTGGAGTTGGTGGAGTATCAGGACATGGTGGAGGTCATGGTGCAGGTGGTGGAGTTGTTGGTGGTGGAGGTTTAGGTGGAGCTCATGGAGGAAGTTTAGGCGGTGAGTTAGGAAAGGGTGCTGGGGTGGGTGGAATAGGGATAGGGGTCGGAGTCGGTGTGGGCGTGGGTGGCAGCTCAGGCGGCGGAGCTGGATCTGGTAGTGGTGCAGGAGGTGATGGGGGACATTGAACTTCCACACCTTGTTTACGCAAAAGTGAAAAAAGAAAGTGAACGAGAACTTCAACACATTGTCTGCCTAAGCTCTCCATTTTCAAGATTTCAGTTTTCATGTTTGTATTGTCTATCCGAACGCTTGTAGCATAAGTAGATGTAGCATGGATCAATTTGTTCTTAAAATGAGCAAATAAAAACAAGAGTTGATCTCCCTTGGATTAGCAATGCATTTTTAAGATGTTTTGTTTTCAAGTAAGGTAATCCATTAAGCAAACTTAAAGAAAAAGGGCATAGAATAGTGATAGAAGATACATACCCAAAAAGACGATATTTAAAGGATAAGAAACCCGACTACTCAAAGAAGGACAACTCAATCGAAGGCCCACTAAATATTTAACTTAAAAGAAAGTATAAGATGAGGCCATTAACTTTTGACACAGAGGGATCACATGTTTGTCGTAGCCATCAAATGTAAAATCAATGGCTAAGATTGTATCATTGATTGTGCACATTGCTCAATTAGATTTTTATTGAACTTTGTAACTTATTCTTAGTGTCCAGATCTCATATCAAATGGCTAGTAACATTTGTGACCTTCTTGTGGCAAAACTAAATGATCTCTTAATATACATTCTCGTTCTCTTAACTTAGTGCTCCCCTTACGACATGCAAGGATCTATATGAAATAACTACAAATGTACTCCCTCCAGAACAAATCTACACATGTAGAGCATGTTTGACAGAGGAGTTTCAGAAAGCTGTGGAATGAAAGTAAGTATCTCGGCTTTCCAAGTTGTTAGAATTGTCATATTCTTTACTGGTAAATTGGTTTCCTCTCAATTGCACACAAAATTTTTAATGATCGTACAATTTTTCATAAATTCCAAATCTAACAACTTGCTAATACAAATTCTTATTTATTCAGTTCAAAATGTACACGTCAGTTTATGCAATTTTTCAATTCTCATTGTAACTCATACTATTCGGTAATACAGTTTCTTACAAGTTCTAATTTGCATATCTCGGGCATAGGTGGGTTTTCTTTCTAGCATGTTAATATAGTGGGATGGGCTACAACTTGGCTTCTACGATTATTACACAAGAGTCAGAAGTCCGAAATCCTAGGCAGCCATTTTTTTTAATTTTTTTGTTTTTTGGATTATTCAATGGAGAAGATAGGCCCTTACCCCTTTTTTTAAGTAGATTTTTGAAGGGGTCAATGAGGTGGTGTTAATGGTAGAAATGAAAACCATAATGTGGAGACTAGGTGTGGGGATGCTTCTATCATGACCCAGCCCTTTTCCTAAATATTAATTGAGAGGAGAAAAAATCCTATGCACAATAGGAATTGACTTAACCTTTGGCATGCCGAGCTCTAGGGTATTGTCTAGGGACCAGTACCACAAGTGGAGAGGGTATAGCGATGGCCTTCGGCTGGGAATCTCACGGGTGAACAGGAAGAGAGATGATCGTAAGGCAGTGCCCTCAAAGCAAGACCCTTTAAACGTAACCTCACGAGGCATGTATGGTGTCCATCACAAGGGAAGGGAATCTTGCAGAGGTTATCTGTGTAGGATGCAAGAGGGTCGGAGCTTTGCTTTTGTCATCCCAGGCCATGTCGAGTGAGGTAACGATCGGCACCACATATGGGCCAATGTTCTATAGATAAGGAGTGAAGGCGTATGAGAAAGATTGGCATCTAGAGACCTAGGTGGTAGCCTACAGAACAATGTCATTGCTTGTGTTGCAGTATGCAGAGTGCCCGATATGTTAAGAATCTAATGCCTCTGAGTCACATGAACATTGCCAACTTTAATGGATCATTGTGTAACTTTAATGGATCATTGTGTAATAATCAAGTGTGGCCTACTATAGAACCTCAACAGAGTGCATGATTCCACTAAGCATTGGACGGATCAATCCAACGGAGTGCTAGTCGCTCATAAGTAGACTCGCTCAGGCTCATAGTCATCATAGGTGGACACCACTGTCGTTTCATCAGGAGTGCTAGTCGCTGGACTCCTTGTTAAAAATAAGCTTGATTATTTCAAGGGCATTTTGGGTATTAAATTTAAATGTAAGGGACATTTTGAGAAATTTATGTTAAGGGTAATTTCGGAATGATGTAAAAGAATTGTGTAGAGTTCCAAAACTACAATTCCAAGATTGAGAGAGAGATTAATTCAAGATTGAGAGAGAAGAGTCCCAAGATTGAGAGAGAGGAGTCCAAAGCATGCTATGCATGCAAATTTGAATTGGGAATGAGTGAAGTCAAGAATTTTCTTGAATAATCATGTAATTTCGTCCATGCATATAGATTGTAAGTAATGAGGGGGAAAACTTCAATAGAATTATGTAGAAAGAGCCTAGAAAGCTCCTAAGTGGTCTATATATACATGTACTATATTTTTTATACAAGAAGAATGAAGAAATTAAGTTGAATTGAGTTCTTTTGTGTGCATAACTACAAATTCAAGTAAACCTTCTTCTTCCCTAGTTTCTAACATGTGGTATTAGAGCAAAGTGCTTAAGAATGGCCCCCTTGATCCAGCCACAAATTCTCCTTCTCACCAAAGACAACTATGAGAATTGGAGTATTCAAATGAATGCATTGTTGGGGTCTCAAGATGCTTGGGATATTGTTGAAAAGGGGTATGTCGAATCGGCAACCCCGCAAGAAGAAACCGCTTTGGATCAAAATCAAAGAAGCGTGCTAAAGGAGTTGAGAAGGTTGGACAAGAAAGTTCTCTTTCTTATTTACCAAGGACTTGATGAGAGCACTTTTCAGAAAATTTATTCCATTGGAAATTCAAAGAAGATATGGGAGATTCTTCAAAATTCTTTGAAAGGAGTGGAAAAGATGAAAAAAGTGCACCTTCAAACTCTTAGGGCTGAGTTTGAGGCATTGAAAATGCATGAATCCGAAAATATTTCGGAATACTTCTCAAGGGTAAACCAATTGAGAAGAAATGGAGAAAATATAGATGATGTAAGAGTAATGGAGAAAATACTACGATCACTAGATCGTAAGTATGAGCAAATTGTTGTAGCCATTGAAGAATCAAAAGATTTAGAGGCTATGACTATTGATGAACTCTTGGGTTTCTTGCATGCCCATGAACAAAGATTACAAAAAAGGACTCAAATCTTCGGAGCATGTAATACAAATAAAACTTACAATGAACGAAGAGAATGAAGAATCTCGTGGAGGAAGAGGCCAAAGAGGTCGTGACAATGGAAGGAGAGGACGTGGTAGAGGCAACTTTAACTATGGAGGCATGAGAGATCAAAACCACCCACAAGCTCAAAGAGGACGAGGAAGAGCTAATTTTTTGAGGCCATACAATCATTCAAAGTATGGAAAATCAACTATTCAATGTTATATGTGCAAAAAATATGGCCATTATAGTTCAGAGTGTAGATACCGTTCCCAAAATGATGTATTTGAAGAAGCTAATTTTGTTGAAAAGAAAAATGATGAAAAAGAACTAACTTTGCTATCAGCTTATAATGATAAGAATGATAATCAAATGGATACTTGGTATCTTGACACCGGTGCAAGCAATTACATGTGTGGTAGAAAGAAATTGTTTGTGGAATTAAATGAATTAAGTCATGGGCATGTAACATTTGGAGACTTATCAAAAAGACTTTGAAAAGGCAAAGGTAAAATTTTTATAGAAATGAAAAATGGTGGTCATTAATTTATTTTTGATGTATATTATGTGCCGGACATGAAAAATAACATTTTGAGTGTGGGTCAATTATTAGAAAAAGGCTATAATATTGTTATGAAAAATGGTAGCCTTTATTTGAGGGACCAAAGAAACAATTTGATTGCCAAAGTGATTATGACTAAGAGAAGAATGTTTCCAACGAATATCAAAAGTGAATGTGAAATGCCTCAAATCTATTTTGAATGATGATTCATGGTTATGGTATTTTCGTTTTGGGCATCTTAATTTGGGTAGCTTGAAATTGTTGCCAAGAGCAAAAATGGTGAATGGTTGGCCATGGATAAAGCAACCCGATGGAGTATGTGAGGGGTGCATTGTAGGAAAGCAACATCGAGAAAGCTTCAAGAGTGGAAAATCAAGGAAAGCACAAAAGCCTCTCCAAGTTGTGCATACGGATGTGTGTGGACCACTTGAGCCCATCTCACATAGAAAGAGTTGGTACATTCTAACCTTTATTGATGATTATCGTAGCAAAACATGGGCTTATCTCCTTCAAGAAAAATCGGAAGTTTTTTAAGTGTTTCAAAAATTCAAAGCTTTTGTGGAGAAACAAGGTGGTTTTCAAATTAAAGTGATAAGATTGTATAAAGGTGGAGAATATAATTCTAATGCTTTCCAAAAATTTTGTAAAGAACGTAGAATTTGCCACTAAAGGGCCACATCCTACACACCACAACAAAATGGTGTGGCGGAAAGAAAGAATAAAACTATTTTGAATATGGCAAGATGCATGTTAAAAGAAAAAGAAATGCCAAAGGAATTTTTGGCCGAGGCCATTACTTGTGCGGTATATTTGTTGAATAGGTGTCCCATAAAAGGTTTATGGTATAAGACACCCGAAGAAGCTTGGAGTTCATGCAAGCCAAATGTAGAGCATCTAAAAATCTTTGGGTGTGTGGCTTTTGCCAAAATTCCCGAAGAGTAAAGGGCAAAGCTTGCTGACAAAGGAGAAAAGTGTGTATTCATTAGCTATGGAGAAAATACAAAGGATTACAAGCTGTACAATCTCATTACTAAAAAGGATTCTTGAGTAGAGATGTGATATTTGATGAAATAGAGTATGGGATTGGAAAAATAATCACGAAAAGAAAACTATTGAGGTTGATGACGTGGAAGAAAAGGGACAAGTTGAGAAGGCTCTTTGAATCCTATTCATGATGCTTCTAGTGGCCAATCTCCTTTAACTAGTTAGTTCATCTCATAAGGCCATGAAAACAAAAAGCCTTCAAGAAATTTATTTGGTTACTCGTAGGCTTGATGTTGAAAATGAAGATCTCACATTGCTTTGTCTTTATGCAGATTTGGATCCTATTTATTTTGATGAAGTATGAAAAAGTAAAGTGTGGAAAGGGCCATGGATGAAGAGATTGAAGCAATTGAGATGAATGGCACATGGGAGCTTACAACACTTCCTAAGGACCACAAATCAATTGGTTTGAAATGGATTTACAAGACAAAGAGAAATGCTAATGGAGATATCGAAAGGTATAAAGCAAGGTTAGTTGCTAAAGGGTACAAGCAACGACTCGGAATTGACTATGATGAGGTATTTGCCCCATTGCTCATTTGGAAACTATTAGATTAATTATTTCTCTTGCAGCCCAAATGAAATGGAAATTTTTTCAAATGGATGTGAAATCAGCATTTTTGAATGGTGTTCTTGAAAAAGATGTGCATATTGAACAACCAATTGGTTATGTGAAAAAAGGCCAAGAAACTAAAGTCCACAAATTGACAAAGGCTTTGTATGGCTTAAAAAAAGCACCTAAGGCATGGAATAGTAGAATTGATAAATATTTTCTTGAAAATGATTTTTTTAGGTGCCCATATGAACATACCTTATGCATAAAGAAAATTGAAAATGGAGATATTTTACTAATTTGTTTATATGTTGATGACTTGATCTATACGGGAAATAATCCGGGCATGTTTAATTAATTCAAAGAATTCATGATTAAAGAGTTTGAAATGACCGACATTGGGCTTATGTCTTATTTCCTTGGCATTGAAGTTGAACAAGTGGATGATGGAATTTTTGTGTCATAAAAATCTTATGCAAAAGAAATTTTCAAGAAATTTAAATTGGAGAATTGTAATCTGGTAAATACACCGGTAGAAAGTGGTCTCAAATTTAGAAAAGAAGGTGATGGAGAAAGGGTTGATCCTACATTTTTCAAAAGTTTAGTGGGAAGCCTCCAGTACCTAGCATGTACAAGACCGGATATTCTTTATGGAGTTGGTTTGGTAAGTCGGTAGATGGAGACTCCAAGTACCTCTCACTTGAAAGCGGCAAAAAGGATTCTCCGGTATATCAAAGGCATATTTGACAATGGTTTATTTTATTCATGTTCCAATGTTTGTGATCTTGTAGGTTTTGTTGATAGTGATTGGGCCGGACACTTGGATGATAGGAAAAACACTTCTGGGTATGTGTTCTACATGGGGAGTACGACATTCACGTGGTCATCGAAGAAATAACCGATCGTGATACTATCAACTTGTGAGGCCGAGTATGTAGCCCCCACATCAAGTACTTGTCATGCATTGTGGCTACAGTATCTTCTTAAAGAACTTTTAAAGCCTCAAGAGATTCCCACCAAAATCCATGTAGATAACCAGTCAGCAATTGCATTGGCAAAGAACCTAGTGTTTCATGAGAGAAGCAAGCACATTGATACACGGTTCCATTTCATTCGGGACCATTATACAAAGACGCAAGATCAAGTTGCCGACATTTTTTCAAAACCTCTCAATCATGAAATTGTTTCAAAAATTGAAATTTATGTTAGGAGCAAACAAGTTGGAAAATAAAGCTTAAGGGGGGATGTTAAAAATAAACTTGATTATATTCAAGGGCATTTTGGATATTAGATTTATGTTAAGGGTAATTTTGGAATGATGTAAACGAATTGTGTAGAGTTCTAAAACTACAATTCCAAGATTGAGAGAGAAGAGTCCCAAGATTGAGAGAGAGGAGTCCAAAGCATGCTATGCATGCAAATTTGAATTGGGAATGAGTGAAGTCTAGAATTTTTTTGAATAATATTGTAATTTCGTCCATGCATATAGATTGTAAGTTATGAGAGGGAAAACTTCACTAGAAAGAGTCTAGAAAGCTCCTAAGTGTTCTATATATACATGTACTATGTTTTTATACAAGTAGAATGAAGAAATTGAGTTGAATTGAGTTCTTTTGTGTGCATAACTACAAATTCAAGTAAGCCTTCTTCCTCCCTATTTTCTAACAGGGCTCGTCAATGAAAGTCGAGATGTAGATAAGGAAGGCAAAGGCCTCATGGATTGAGACCCTATGGCAGTCCGAACATGGCTAGACTCAGGGCTTGTCAATGAAAGTCGAGATGTAGATGTGGAAGGCAAAGGCCTCTTGGGTTGAGACCCTATGGCGGTACGGACATGGCTAGAAATTCAGGTGACTGGTGCTGAAGGCATAGTTGCCCATGAGAGGGTCACAAATAGACCTAATAAGAATGAAGAAGACCATGGTGTATGCATCAATCAAAGAGATTTGATAGAAATCAAATTTTCAAGCAACGAGAGAGAGGGAGAGAATTTAATCTTGAACACAAAATACAAAAGGCAGAACGACAAACCCTTCCATAGTGGGATAACCAAGAATTTGATTCACCTAAAAATGTGATATATGAGCTTGAAAAGAAATATGTTCCCATCAAAGAACAAACTAGATTTTCAAAGTCCTCAAAAATTCAAGAGCTATTCTTTAAAATCAAGTTCAGGAAGAATTTCAAGTGTTAGTGAAACCTTCATTTTATATATACCGAATCTTGTATATAGAAAGGACCACATTTGATCGACAGTGCAAGGGGTCACTAGGTCTGAAAACAGAGCATCCTGATTATAAAATCATTCGAAATTGGAAGCTTTCTGAATCCAAAATGGTTCGCAATCAGGTTGGGCCATAAAAATATGAATCCATTGACTTTTGTTGCTCTAAAAATCTTCATGTATATCTTAGGATATTCGGTACTGAAATATCTTACCTAAACTTCATGGTTATTGAGATTTGATATCGTTTTAATCAATTGTGAGATTGTTTTTTCTATATAATGAAAGAATCTCTTACTTGAACTCAAAAGCAAAGCTCTCTTCCTATTTGCCCTAATGAGAAATCATGGTCAAATTTAATTCAATCTTTTTGCAAACAATTTCTGAGGATTCCCAATTAATCTAGAACAAACCACTATCAATCTACGTCACCAAACTGCATCTCTCTCTCTCTGCATTGTTTTGAAAGGTTAAGTCTTTACATAGAGAGGTGGGGAGGAACATGGGTGGATAACCGCAGTTCTAAATATTACTTGGGTTGATTATCGACTTTTTTTCCCATTACTTTATATAAGGCAAGTTTGTTAAAGTGATTTAGAATAACATATTACCAATTACCATTCGGACCCCTGTGATATATATGATGGACCCGGTT